GCTTTACGGCGTGTACAGGCGTGTACAGTACTCGAGCGTGTCAGATATTAATAGTGTAAGCGACCCATGTGTTTCTGATAACGGATAAATATTAATCTGACGGTTTGCGTGGTGGGGTTAGCCGTAGGAAGGGGTCAAAAAATCTTTTTTTTGCAACTTTGTGACTCTCCCATTTCCTTACATCACGCTGAAATCGTCAGATTATTGAAATGTACACTTTTCTACATGTAATTAACACACCATACCTTAATCTGACGCGCTCGAGTTAGATACTAATTTGACGGGCTCCTCTGGACCCCCGGCTCTATAAAAACCATATAGAGGTCTATATAAACCATATAGAGGTTTAATATGTGGTGGCGGTACTTATTAGGGTGCAAGCTTTCCCCCTTTATGTTATTCTGACGCGCTCAAGTAAATCCCAAAATCCCCGCTTGGCCTCCCCTACTATTATTCCTTTGTATATTTTTGAAAGTGTTGCCGACTTTGACCGAGCATTGAATCATACATAATTATCCCGCGATCTTGGACGAGTTCTGTCGTCCTGACGCGCGTCCTTGCGGCGTGACGACGTCGTATGACGCAGGCGCCCGGTGTCCAAGCGGGCTTCGCCATTTTCGCGGGTGTTGCATCATTTTTAATATACGGAAAGCAAATATAAACGTGATCTGGCCGTATCGACCTCCTATTTGTTTTTTGGAGGCGGGAGCCATAACTAAAGAAGAAGAAGGCTGTAGGATATGAATACGACAAGCCATTCAATTGAGTCGAATGTCGGAATAATTGTTCGCAATGGATTGTTCTTTTTCTTAAGGATGTTGGAGCGGATCTCATAGAAAAATCAAATTTCCAAGTTTATGAGATGAAACTTCGCCAGTATGATGAAAAATGTCTAGCCGAACTATTTAACGAAAGAAAGAAACGATTTACCGTCTAGTTTTCGAGAAAACGAGTTTTGAAAATCAGCACTTTAACACAGAGGCTTATGGCAAACCGGGATTCTAACCTGATTTCTTGCTCTTTCCACCCCGAATTCCCAACTTTGAGTAACCAAAAACTATGCAAAAGAAAGGTGAAGTCTTCTAGAATCTCGTGATATATTGATAGTATGATGTTATCGATGTAATTGTGCTAAAAATTCATGCTAAACTTTTCTTGTTACATTTGACTGAAAGCCAGTAATATTCACGAAAGACGATTTGGCAACGTCGCACGGAACAGCTGATGACATGTATAGATATAGACCGGAGAAGAGCAAATGCAAATTGAAAAATTTTATCCTAAAATGAAGTTATAACATTAACGTAAAAGTTAATTATTATTATTATGCCAAACAAATTTTTGTGCTTCTAATAATTATGAAGTCATATCAAATTAAAAAGAATAAATATCGATTTAATGAAGCAATTCTGTAAAAATAAATTTGAAACTAAATATTTTTTAATTTACTATTTTTAATTTACTAGTTGATTATTTTACCATTTCATTTTTTATTTTACGTGCATACAAAATATAAACAATCTAAAATAAATAAATAAAAAATAAATATATATTAGGGAATATAATTATGATTATTACAAGCTAATTATTTTAATATAGTTTTCAGTATAAATATTTAAATTTATAAAAATTACAATTTCATCATTTGTTTGCTTAGAGTAGGATTTAAAATTAACACACACAAATACATAAAAATTATCGCATTGTATGAAACATACATTTGATCAATCATAAAATCACAAATAAAAGTATTATTATATCTTATTCTAACTTATTCGAGCGAAGACATTCTTTTTCTATCGTCATCTCTCTTTCTAGTTTCAAATTCTCTAGACAGCTTTCCTTGGCGAGTTCTTCAATCGCTGCGCCTACCTTCTTTTCATGACGTTTGAAAACAGAAGTATGCATTATGGGGACATTCACAGCGGATAATATTTTGTTTAGATGCGTGTTGCCAGTACCACTCTCGATAGCACCTGTTGGATAAGAGGAATAAGATATTTATAACTGTCAAAAACACAAATATGAAAGTAATTTAATATCAAACTGCTGTTTATCATATTTACCTGATACTATCTTTGAGTTAACAGTGTACGTTGGTCTAATACTTGTAATTGTATCTGGCTCGGTTGCTGATGTGTTCACTTTGAAAATTTTATTGCATGATGTACATTTAACTTTAAAAATGCTAGCCAATCCATTCCTCGATTCCTCGTATGAATCTCGCAAAGATAGGACTTTTTTGCAACGATAGCACCATAAATCATTGATAAGTGTCTGCAAATCAATCAAACGTCGTCCAACTAGTTCTGAAAAATAACATTGATTAATTTATATGTAAAAATTATTGTTCAGTAATGATAGCTACTGCAATTTTGTAAACAAAGTCATAGTATGTAACGTTTCATAATAATTATTGATATTTGAAGTGTCATTTAATATTTCATATTACTTTGCACAAGTACGTATGCGAATGATGCTGTATTTGAGGTTAAGTTAGCACTGTATTGATACTTACCTATAGGTTTTGGCAAATCATGTCTCGTTTTATTGCTTTTTATAACTTTATTCTTCCACCTGACTACATTCGATTTGCAGAATTTTCCTTTGTATCTGCTTTGGTTAGCGTTCATTTCGGTCGTAACAATCTTTCGCGATCAAAATCCAAACACAATATCCAGCTCTCGCGCTCTCGGCTATCGCTAACTTGTGTGTACTCATATACACGCTCATATACACGCACGCGGGCAACTGAATACGCGACGTTGCCACATCTCTTTCACTTACCGAATGTCATGAAAATATTAAGTCAAATTAACTTCTTTTTTCGAGAAAACAGTGAATAATTACGTACATATGAACTCCATATATCTTTAATAATTAAAATTATGAATTTACATTACTATGTAAGGACTTAAAAAGACAGAATGAATGTAACTCTCAGTTGACTAGAGAGTACCGCTCCAACATCCTTAATGTTTTTATAATCCACATCACGTTTGTCATATATGCAATGACTTTCGCGAACAATATCAATAATTATTTCATTTGCAGTTAATGATTCCATGATAAGATACCGTAAAATAATAAAGGTTATGTTTATCCAGTTGAGTCGTTGTCGTAAAAGATGAGAGTTGACCATCTTTTGTACCGACGTCGACAGTCGACTTGCGACACTCCGACAGTGAGAAACGATAGCCGACAGTGCACACGACGTATTGTAGAATAGGCCTTGGATTCGCGCGCCGCGCTTCATAGAGAGTGGACGTATAGCATTGTACCCCCTTGATTCGGAGATTGCGTCAGCGAGTATTGCAGAGTTTCCAATAGGATTTTCGCGTGCGAATCCCCTTTAGCTGAGCAATTTCGCCTATTTCGCCGATTTCATCAACTATAACGTGACCGCTGGTCTATTCGGCGATGAGCGAGGCTTCGGCCTCGAATACTACGCCGGTCTCGTCCGTCGAGCCCGGCCAACCTCCGCCCCTCTTCCTTCCCTTGGATCCCGCTTCCCCCTCGATTATTTCGCATTAGGAAAAGCATTAAGAAAAGAAACAAATTTAAACCTCATGCCAAGCCATATGGCACCGGCACTAACACTAAGGATGGCAAAAATCACCCCTATTACAGTCTGGTGAGTACAAAGAAAAAGATACGCTCCCACAAAAATTTTGAGGTTATGTTACAGCAAAACCGTCTCCCGGGCGCGCACGCTGTGGCTCAAGCCATATCCAAAGCCTCGCAAGGCGATCAGTGCGACGTCTCTAACGATATGGAAATATCTGTGTCAGACGAGGAGGTTGCAATGCTAACAGATTCTCCACATTCCACCTCTTTGGACACGGGCATTAAAAACGCCAATCTGCATCTCAAACGAAACTCCTCGACACCAATTCCGCTCAAAGCTAACAAGGCTAGCAAACGAGATGCGACGCATGCTGCGGTAGACACATCAAATCAAAAGGACTCAAACACTCAAGTAAGAAATGAACCCGACATTTCCTATAAGAATAAAAATCCTTCTTTTGAAAACTACTACTCACCTACGGACTGACCTCCGTACGCTGTGCATGTGCATACGACTTCTACGGATCCCCAAGCATCCCTACATCCGCTTCACGTTAGTCGCATCGTTTCACTCATTACATACAATAACATAATCGAGTGCAGGAAGATCGGTCGCGGAAAAATTTTAGTGGAACTCAAGACCGCCTCAGCAGCCAACAATCTTGTCAAATGTGATAATTTACAGAAACACAATCTGAGGGCATATATTCCCGCTTATCGCACCCTCCGCACAGGGGTCATCAGAGATATCCCTGTGGATATCGAAGAGTTCATCAAGAGACATCTGGTCTCTCAAAGTAAAGTCATCGAAGTGAATCGTCTCATGCGAAGGTCTCTCAAGGATGGAAAGGTGGAAATAGTCCCCTCGAGGTCGGTCTGTATCAAATTTGCTGGGCAGATCATGCCAAAATTTGTCTTTCTTTTTCATACCAAACATGATGTTTCATGTTACGTACCCAAGATTCGCATTTGCTATAACTGCTACAGAGTAGGGCACATCAGCAAGGCGTGCAGAAGCAACGCAAGATGTATGAGATGCGGTGAGGCTCCTCACCAGGACGATAAGGACTGTAACCAAAAAGACGCCCCCCCCTCCCCCCCCAGATGTATTAATTGCAATGGTGGTCACTTACCGACATCTAACAAGTGTTCATTAATTATCAGACAAAAAAAAGATAGTCGCGTTGGCTGCTCGGGAGAACATTCCACTCTTGGTGGCCAGAAGAAGAATTGCGCCAGATCTTCCTGCGCCCAAGAGCGACGTCAGATTTGACTACGACAACTACCCTGCACTGAGGGGCGGATCACAAAATAGTCAAAATAGTCAATTCAGTGGTCTCGGCAACAGCAACAGATTCTCAGCCCTGGACTCAGACCTCACAAACAACTATCCCTATGTCAACGAAGAACATTCCTATGCTGACGTCGCTTCACCACATTCTAGAAGGTCACGTTTCTCGCCTGGAAATAACCATTCGCCTTCTTTGGTAAGAACACCACTGCCCGATCAAACAGATACTCATCCTTCTACATCCAAGAACAAATTTACACAGAATCCCAGAGAAGAACATCTAATTTATCACAACGGTCGTCCACCGGTGTCTACTGGCAATGGGGTCGCTTTTTCTCCTTATCAAGTCTACCAATCTAACCAACCTTTATCCAATTCAAACTCCAATTACGATTGCAATTCCTCTCCCTCTTCTTCCTCCTCCCCTTACTCTCACACTCTTCAATCTTTACTCATCTCACTCTTTAATAATTTTGATTTTACTACTCTCATGCAAATCATTTCTGCCGCCTTTAATTATTACAACAATCCATTCTCAGCTCATGACTCATTAAGAAAGGGTACCCTCAACCCTTCAAATACATAAAATTCACCCGTAACGCCAAAAAAATCCTCAAACAGGTTCAAGTGCATGCAGTGGAACTGTAGAGGCTTAAGAGGCAAGATAACGCACTTATCTGTCTTTCTCGCTGACTGCGACATTGTATGTTTACGGGAAACGTTGCTAGACGATCGTACCTCATTCTCGATCCCTGGCTTCACATGTATCAGAAAAGATATTTCGCCCAACGGCCAAAGAGGCCTTTGTATTCTGATCAAGAATCATATCGACTTCCGACTTCTTGACCTAAGCCACATTTCACACCACTCGCTGGAAGTGCAAGGCATCAGCATCTTTTTAGACAACAAAAGCATGAACATCATCAATGTATATCGCCATCCAGGTAACCCGACTCCTAGGGCAGCATTTCTAGATTTATTTATGTCAGTAGGACAAGGCTCTAAATCTTTCTTCATGGGAGACTTCAACTCCCATCACCCCGTTTGGAACTGCGAATCCATAAACTCTCCGGGCCGCGCCTTGTTGTCGGTCATGGAAGACATGAACACTGTAGTCTTGAACGACGGCTCACCTACTCTGATCCAACCTCCGGGACGAAGGCGCTCTGTTATCGATTTGTGTATCGCCACTTCTGGGTTGGCTATCTTATGTACATCTACTACCCTATCTGATTCAGGACACAGTGACCATCTGCCAATCGAAGTAAAAGTGGGCGGCTTCCCTTCCGCTAGATCAAGATTCTGCTACAAAATTAATTTGAGCAGAAAGGAGTGCATTGAGCTTAGATGTGCATTGGAAAGTTCACCGTTGCCCTCCACATGCACACCTGACAGTCAACCAATTGAAGCGTACAAGGAACTGATTAATATTGTGAAGCGAAGCATTGAAAACGTTGCGCCCAAAAAATTCAAACAACCGCGACAATGTTCCATCGACGGTCGTCGAAACCAACCACTAACCTAACCTGCCAGGAGGCGATCGCGGCCAGAAGGTTAGCCACCGCAGACTACAAGAGGTCTCCTTCCTGGGCAAACTTCGTAGCATATAAGAAACAATGTACCGCCACGGCCAAAACTTTACGAAAAGAAAAGAGAAAGGGATGAAAGACATTCTGCAACGAATTTAATCATCGCACCCCAACAACCAGATTATGGTCCCTCGTCAAAGCCTTCAAAAATAAAAACCTTAACAACGGAACCTCAAATTCCAACCCGGCTGACCTAGAATCATCTAGCGACACAGCCACTAACAAACTCTGCTCACCATCTTGTCTTCCACCTGACGCTAAATTTTTACCTGATATGATCGCGGAGGACATTGAAAATTCGAACCTAATACGGGAAATCGACATTCCGATTTCTAGGCGAGAACTTGATATAGCAATCAAAGAATCAAAAATCTCTTCCGCACCTGGTCTCGACCAAATTAGCAACCGTATCATCCAAACTTTCCCCGATCACCTAAGAGATTCCCTCGTCAACATTTTTAACGGTTTTCTAGACCTGGGACTCGTGCCCAGGGATGCCAGATCAGTGACGGTTTACGACATCGAGACTAACGCCATCAGGCGGCGGGCTGGCACAACCGATTGCAACACAAACGCGAGCC